GCCATGGCTGCAGCCCAAACACCTAGTTACCTTTCCTGTCTGATAAAGTCTTAACAGACAGGACATAGGTGTCTGATAAAGTCTTATCAGTCAGGCGTCTAGTCAAGCGTAGTTGTTTATGACCCAAATAATTAACAAAGAAAATAGCTGACAGCTTAATCAAATTAATAATGAAAAGTGAAAAGTGTCACGAAACTGTGAAAAATGTCCATCACAATTTTCCAAATCCCAAGTTGGACAACAGTTAAAACCCAAAAAAATGTAATCTGATATCATAATCGCACTGAAGAAGCTGAAAGTAGTAGATATGTGGAATTTTTTTTGCTTTTTGGAGATAGTGTTTTTTTTTTTACCTGAATGCTACTGATATGGAAAAAGGGATGGAAACCATATTGTTACTCTGTGGCATACACCTATTCCTATACACACAGGCTAGCTATAGAATAAATAAATATTAAATGCTATAAGTCAACCTTTTGTCTCATGTGTTTTAATTAGTATTATTCAGTTTTCATGACATATTGAAATAGCCAGTAGCACCAACTCTTCCTTATGTAATGCCCCATTAACAATAATTAACTTACTTCCATATAGTACCCTGGCTTAATTTGTTTACAGCTGTCTGCTATGGCAAGACAAATACATTATAAATTGTTTGCACTAAAGGAAAAACATCTAAATTATTTTAAACACTGGTAGAATGAAGTATAATTAGAGTGCTTACCTTCTGCGTTGCAGTTTGAATGATGTGCTAATGAAACAAAGAGTAAACATGCATCACCGGCAGGCAGACAGTCTGATTACTCAGCCAGCATCCAGACTACAACCTTCACACTAATGCCGAGCCGACCCACTTCCGACCTGCGCGTCAGTGGCGCACGGAGCTGCGGGGGGAACGTAAAGGGAATAATCAAAGAGTAATCCATTAATGACGTCAGTGCCGAGGTGCATGCTCACCTTAAAAACAAGAGGCAGTCTGACAAGAAAGAGGAAAAACAAACCGACAGGAGTCATTGAGTCCAAGACACAATTAAGGCATTAAAAGATCCTGCTATTTCAAACACTACACTGAGAGCAGTATAGTGGTTCAGACAGCCTCCAGACAAACTGTGGGACAGTATACACAAACAGAGATGTAGTGAAGTCAAAGTAAACAGAATGTCCACATAGTGTTTTGTATTTAACATGCTGCTATGTAACTAAAGCCTAACTCAAACTACCAACTTTCTGTCAATAATAAAATGGAGGAGTAAAAAAGAGTAAAGTAGGCTACTTAAGAACTGCACTTATGTAGATTGTATTACTATCCTCATATGAGCACATCACATTTTGGTTTTACTTTATCCTTATACTTAATTCTACTTAATCCGGACCTGTTGTCTTCGTTCATGGACACTTTTTTGTCCTAACTAGTGGTAGTAAGAGCACAATACACTAATCCATGTAAAAACAAGATGGCAGCCATCTCTGCCAAGTCAGTCTGCAACTCATCATGACACAAAAGTGGACAAGGTCCAAAACCTGATCACATTTTATGATTGAAACTTATTTATTTATGATTAATAATGTTTATAGTTTGATATGGCAACAAATTTGACCAATTTTAGCAACAGTTACAAACTAAGACACCGTTAATTGGGAAGTACTCGATTGAGGACATTGGGACTTGATTATCGTTGACAATGTTTTTTATTTATACTTATTGGGTCCTACTGATCCCTAACAGCTAGGACAAATTTAAAATGCATACCAAACAAAAGTTCAGGTCTCAAGAGGATATGTATTGAGTTATTTCCAACACTGGTAATTAGTCTTTCTGCAGTGATAGATTTATTAGATCAGGTAAATGGTGCACTTGACATTATATCAATGGTTGATTGATTAATTAACTTTTTTTATCAATCATTCAGCCAATCACTCAATCGTTTATTTGTCATGTGGAATTATACAAGGTAAAACTCCAGAGAAATGTGATCCCAGCTACTTTAACTCGTGCACTGTAGTTTAGTCCCTTTGTTGCATCTTCTTAACATCGCTGGCCGCTGCTTCATTATTACTTACGTTTTTGGGTATCATGGTTTCTGGCTGTGTAATGTTTTAACTGTCCACATGTCCTGACCTTAACAAAATGGTTGCATGGTCACTTCTCTCAAATATGGGCAGCAACTCACTGCAGCCTCCTTTGAACAATGTATAGCAGTGATCCACAGCAGGACCGGGACAGCACCTCACATTCCCACTGACACACCAGTCCTTATTCACCCTGTGGGCACATATTTGAACATACACAATAAAAATGTACCCAGTACAAACCTGTAGTGCACACTAACACTCTAAGTGGTTATGAATGAGATTAATGGAGTGAAACTGTTAAAGTATTACAAGTCTCATTATGAGCGCTCCAGTTAACCCTTAGGTCCAATGCTGATATGGTTGAACTAGTTGCCTGTTGCCGGTATTGCATGATATCTCATGGTGACAGCTTTTAGATCTCTGTTTAACTAAAAAAGCCTATCTCCTGCTGTTGATGTAAGTATATGGTGAATAGATTAAATTAAGCATGACTGGATCCTTTTGTATAACGATGAACCACCAGGGGGCGTCATTTTCCTACCAATTTTTGAACTAGATCTGTTCAGCCTCCAGACTGTACACCAAACAGTTTCTAAATTTACACTGCAAATGCTGGATTAAAATGTGAGTTAGATATAAAATAACAGAGACAGGGTCTGTTGTATTTGTATTCATTTGATATCAATTGTAAAAATTAACAGGTTTGAAAAGACTCATAGTTTTGATCAAATCCATTTGGGACTCTCTCAACACTCTTAAAAGCTGTGACACAGGACAATCCATGACATGTGAGGAGCTTTATTGATGCACTATAACAACACAGTGTTATTTTTAATTCTATCTAACTTTTATTTAACCAGAAAAACCTCTCGAGATTAAAAATCTCTTTTTCAAGTGTCCTTGTCAAGACATGAAGCAACCTAAGTTACAGACAGACAACACAGAACAAAAATACAGAATAAAAATGTAGAGCTCTAAAACAAGCAATATAAAACATAAAAAAGGTTACTACAAAGGAAAGCCAAAAACTATGTTAATATATATTAGAAATGAACCATGACAACACAAAAAACAGCAACTACACATGATTACAAAGACCAGCTAAGACGCACTGTGACAGTGGCATATAGTACATTGTGTATGCCGAGAGGAACCAGAGTGCAGATAATGCTCGCTTGCCAAACTCTGTACTTACCCTCACTACAGACAATGACAACATGTTTTGTGAACAGAGAGCATAGCCATTTTCAATTTTTTGTTTAATGTGCACACATAACTTAAGTATGCTGGAAGTAGGCCAAGAACAGCTATGCAGTCTATGAAACTGTAAGGAGAGCCAGCCAACCTGAGCGTACAGGATACAGTGATGAGTTTGTGGCTTACAGTTGGTAATAAATCTCAGTGCACCATGGTACACTGAGTCCGGAGCATACAAACACTGGGTGGGTGCATTCATATATAATACATCCCCATAATCACCATAATCATGTTGCTTCTGTAGATATTACTAGGTGACTTCTGTGTGGAAATAACTGCCTCTCTGCCCTTTCAGCTACAGACGAGCATCCCATTGTCTATAAGGGTTACAATCATTGCCAGCCAATGCTTTTAAATATATAAAAACACAAAAATACTAAAAATAAAATAAAATGAAATAACCCAGGGTGGGGGAGCCCTTCTGTGTGGAGTTTCCGTATTTTCCCCGTATCCGCTTGGGTTTTCTCTGGGTACTCCGGCTTCCTCCCACAGTCCAAAGACATACAATGATATAATGAACACCAAGTTTATTTTGGTGTCAGATTATATTATTTTGAAAATTCACATGGCTGTCTTAAACTCCTGTAGAAAAATTTTTTTGGGATAGGCTCCAGCTCAACCGTGACCCTCAAGAGGATAAGTGGTTATGGAAAATGTATGAATGAATGAATGAAAATGAAATTAAATAAAATTAATACTAATATTATAGATAATAATAATAATAATAATAATCAGTTAATAAAATAAAATACCTTTTGATGGTCAAAGAGCAATTCGACAATTATTTGAAATCTTAAATTCAAAACAATGAAATTCATTATTGTAAAAAGGAAGTGGCCCATGACTTTCTAATCAATAAATTATTTCTGTAAATATATAAACATAATGCCGTTTAGAAACTGTTAGTAACAAGAACTATTATTGTGCTAACAAGAACTCTGACAGAACTTCAGACATTGACACTGAACTCATCACAGCTTTTTTGTTTCTTTCCTAAAGCACCTGAAGGCAACCTAATTAAACCAGACCAATTAACAGGTGCGTCGTGGCTACTTTTAAACGCGCATGGATCCTCCTCAAAGTCTTCAACTGTCATTTCTCTCCTCTCAGAAGCTGATACTGTTACTGGCCTTTGTCTTTTGAACCAGTCATGAGTGGGCTTTTTGCTGGGCTGCAGGGGGCTCGACGGGCTCTTGGCCACAGAGCAGGTGTGATGATGCAACAACGAGCAAGTCACATTCACTGCAAACCACCTAAAGATAACATTGGCATTGTGGTAAGTTTACAAATGGGTTAAGTTATCTTGTAGCTGGATTTAGAGCTCTTAAAATGTTCTTGAAGATTTATTAATTATTAATTTTGGGGGTCATTTGGCTCTTTCCTGTAGGAATCTACGTTTGTGCTGACTGTGCTGACTATGGCCGTCCTTGGACCTTCTGGGTGGATACTTGCCCATGTGAAGGAATATAAATCCCGTGACTGATGGACGAGGCCCTGAATGCATCGTCAACACGTGTCAAAGCCACTGTGCCCGCTTATAAAAGTGCCATTTGAACCTTTTTCTGTTTTGTTAACATAATAAAATGTTTAATTTTCACTTTGGCAGTGTCTGCTGTTTTTTTAATTACCTGGTGCAGTTCCGCCTCTCCACCAGTAGGTGTCAGAAGCTGGCGGCGGAAGTGAAACCTCTGTGTTTGCTTACAAACAGGCTGTATGGCGACAAGGAATCCATTCCTGCCATCTGTAGGGAATTTCTTTTAATTGTAAATCATTACAGAGAGCTAAAGTGCCTTTGAATGCGCCATGAAGCCGCTGGCTGGGACCAAGAAGCGTCCGAAAGCAGCCGGAGCTGAGGCTGCTCTGTCTCTGCAAGAGGAGCTTGTTGCAGCGATACACGGAGCATTTGTAGTGGCTGTGGAGATCGCAGTTCGAGAGGTGACCAAGCTTGTAGGTCAGGCGACAGGAGACGTCTATGAAGAGATGCGACGGGAGAACGAGTCCCTCAAACAAAGACTGCAGAGAGCTGAAGCTTTGCTGGACTCTGCGCGCGTGGAGGAGGAAAGAGGTGGCAGCTCTCCTACAAAGCAACTCGTGAATGTCACTAACCGTGCAGATCAACCGCCTCATATGAAGTACAATCAAAAAAGCCCAAATCCTAAAGTGGGCAACGTGCACCGTCGTACGGGGGTCAGAGGTCACAATCCTCCTGCAGGTCGCAGCCGTCCACACCAGCTTCCTGAACCCCAACACACACCTGAGGAGCACAGATCAGAAGGTGACATGCAGACACAACATGTCAGTGATGCTGCTTCAGAGGAAAAAGGAGACGATGGATGTGCTGTTTCTTGTAATGCCTTGATTAAAGGTACGTAACAGTTTATGTGCAATATGACACATCTGCCTGATGGTAAACTGCACGTTTATATGAGTGCCAAATTGTAGTGACATGCAGTTGCAGCTGCATGTGTTACTGTCAGGACTGCTAAAGTGCAAACAGGCCCCTTCATTTATCTGTATATGTAGAAGGTAATATAATGGATGAGAGATACAAAATTTAAATTACACACTACGCTACGAAACATCCAGCAAAAGCTTTAAAACGGCAATCATCCATAATGAACACTTGGTTTATTTTGGTATCAAGATTATCTTATTTTGAAAATTCACATGGCTCTTAAACACCTGTGGAAGAGACTCACGCACACCATCCAACTTTGCAAAAATAATGATTTTAAGGCTGCATCGTTTCAGTGACTAGACCTTAACGATGCAGCATTAAAATCATTATTTTTGCAACTCTAACAGTGTGCAAGAGTCTTTTCTACAAGTTGTATTCTTCTCGTACCTCTCCTACGTACCTGTTTGGAAATAGATGTGCAAAGTATCCCTTTGTTTTGTGTCTAAAACACCTAAAATTCCTTTTGGTTAAAACAGCTACATTTGGGGATTACCATTGTTCTATTATATTAGGGTCACATTCTTTTGTTAATCCTTTTAAGTAATTTTTTCCATGTACACCATCATAACCTCCTGAGACCTCGGCTTTACTTTAGTACGTATTTTTAATTTCTCTGTGCTGTCTGGGGTCGACCTGACAATTGTATAAACTAACTGTCCTCAAACAGGAAGTAGTTTTTGACAAAAAAAAATGATGTCCTCATGCAGGGAGGATGGTTTTGTTTTTAATATTCACAAGTGTGCAATAAAACAAGACTTAATAAAGTCCGTGTCCTCAAACGAAACTGTAAGAAAGTCCCAACGTCCTTGAACAAGAACTTATCTTGTTATTGTTGCTAAAATTGGTCAAATTTGTCGTTATATCAAACTACAAACATTACTTATCATAAATAAACAGGTGTCAATCATGAAATGTGATCAGGCTTTGGACCTTGTTGACTTTTGTGTCAGCTGCAGACTGACTTGGCAGAGATGGCTGCCATTTTGTTTTACATGGATTTGTGTATTGTGCTCTTACTTCCACTAGATGGCATAAAAAAGTCTCCATGAATGAGGACAACAGGTTTAAGTGCTTCTAAATGAAGCATAAGGTGTAGGAAACCCAAAATGTGATGTCCTCATATGAGGACGCAGGGTCTCAGGAGGTTAATAAACACAAATGGTTTGAGGACACCTATAGGAAGATCTGCCCCTAAATGTGCGTCTCATGACATTCACAGAAAATGTGCTCAATTTCTAATTTGTAAGAATCAGCACTTTACAAGACAATTTAAGGGATATTTTATTATGTTTCAGTAATTAATACAGTCTAATGTCACTGTGCTCACTCTTTGATCTTTTTTGTTCACAGAAGCCAGTGAAGAAAACTCCATTGTGTGTGTGGTGAGAGTAGAAAGCATCAACCAGCCATTTCGAGACCTGGCAGGTCAAGAACGCCACTCGCCACCACCTCCCAGTGAGGATGAAGAGTTCACTTCAAAGCAGGTTACAGTAAAGCAGGAGAGGCAAGAAGAGGAGGAAGATGATTTGACTTGCTGCTTAGACTCGATCAAAGTGGAGGATTTTAGTCCAGAGTGTATGTCAGCGGCGCAGTCCAAAATGCTGGAGGAGTGGAAACCAGAAGTGCTGGATATTCAGAGCCAAGACTCCAACGGTCCTCTGTCCTGCACCAGGCTGGCTCAGGGTAAGATGGAAAACAATGAGTGTCTGAAGCAAACACAAAATGTACCTTTTAAGTGGGGTTAACTGTTCCGATTGGTGATTTAATGGGTTATATTAATATTCAGTATCTTTATATCCTAAGTGTTCGGTGTTTCCACTCTAACACATCATTTAAACTTAATGATCTGATCAAATGTCCTTTCAAACTGTTGTTAACGTTAATAGCATTAAGGTAAAAAGTTTCCTTCATTTTAACCTTGCTATGACCTCTGACCTGCGCAGATCTTCCATCCCTCTCCTCAGAGTTCCCAAACATCTTCCAACTGGCAGAACCAGCTCCCGTCCCAGAAGCCCCTCCACAGGTTTATGGAGTCCATGTGCGGACCAGCCGCAGCCTCGGCCACACCTTCACCAACCACCACACCTGCAAGTATTGTGGCCAGACATTCCACCTGCCCAGCTTGCTGCGGCGGCACTACGGCCAGTGCCAGCAGAAGCTCCAGCAGTGTTATCAGCAACCCGCTGATGGAAGCAAGAGGACCAGACTGCAGCTTTACCCACCGGGCTGCAGCCCCTTCCAATGCACGGAGTGCAACCGAGAGTTCAACCGCATGGAGAACCTTAAGACTCACCTTCGCATCCACACGGGAGAGAGGCCGTACACCTGCTCAGTGTGCTCCAAGTGTTTCCGTCACTCTGGGGCGCTAACCAGGCACTTCCGTATCCACACCGGAGAGAAGCCTTACATCTGTGGACAGTGTGGGAAGTCCTTCAGGAACTGTGGGGGGCTCAAATTCCACCAGCGTTCACACAGCAAGTAGCTACAGTAGAGATGAAAAACAGCTGATATGATGCAAAGATCGATATGTTTAAATGTATCATTTTTATGTAAAAGTTTGAAGTGGGATCATTCTTACTGGCTTATCACATTTCTGACACACAGTATTGATGGCCCACATACATTAATCTAACCTAAAAGGAATATCCGCCCTTGTGTTTTCTTTTTCTTGCACACCTTCTCTGTGAACGAAGAATCCAAAAACAGAAAAAATTCTAGATGGATTCAAGTCATAGGGGACTGTGTGTAACAACAGCAAAACTGTATCAAAACATCTGTTAATAAACTCTCACACAACTCGCACAGTATAATCCATGTCTCATCGATCCAGTCGTATGTCCAGCACTTCCCTGATAGTTCTTTTGAACGAGGAACTGAACAGAAAATAAAACGTATCCGTGCTCTCTTTAAAGCCAGACTCCATTGACAAAATCAGTAATTTTACCTCACTGACCTTGTAAGCAGCTGGTCCACTGACTGCTGTCTTGATCAGTTAATTTTTGTTATTGTGTGACTTTGGTTAGTCTGAACTAACCCTTTAAAACACCAAAGTCACACAATAACACAAACAAACTATCTGATTGAGGCAGCGGCGGACCTGCATGTCCCTTTTTCAGCGAGGTAAAATGAATGTTTTTATCAATAGAGTCTGGCTTTGAAAAGAGCACAGATATGTTTTAGTTCCCTGTCCGAAATGGCTGTCTGTCTGGGAAGTACTGAACATTCAACTGGATAAACTTGGATTAAACTGCACAGGTTGTGTGAGAGTTGACTAATTCATAAGAGGGACTCTCCTGTCTGTACTGTTTCACCTTTTTCTAACACGTCCTCCTTTTAAAATCACAGGTGTTACTTCTAAGAGCTCTCAGACTAGAAAGTAGCACCTCAAAAAATTATAGGAACTGTCAAGTGTGTCATTGAGGTCAAACCATAAATTATTCTGTTACTAAAACAAATAAGATCAGCTGTATTTCAGTGATAATGTTCTAGAAAGACAAAATATAGATACTGTAGCTATGTGATCAGCCACAACTGTACATGAAGGCTCAGTAGCATTTATTTATATGAAATGTGTGGAACCTTTTAGTGTTTTCTAAGTGCAATTTTTTTCTCAACTAGTTTTCTGATAGCCATCACAGTTTGTGTTCTTATTTATGGCGATCTTGTTTTTCTAATTGTTTGTGTGCCTCTGTATCTAAATATGCATTTTATATATGACTACTTGTGTGGAAAATGATTTATTTAATTAAAAGTGTGGAAATTGCTCAGAAAATGGACAAAGTATGACAGCTTTGTTTTATTGTACCAACATACCATGGAAGCCAAGGTCCAAAAAGTGACAAAGAGGATATTCATAAGCTGTTGATACCGGAAAATGCATCCAGGCCCAGATAAGCAACAGCCTCTGCAGAGTTCAGTCTACCTCAAGAAGTCAGTCTTTCCATGTCAGCTGCGTGACAGTGAGACAGCAGCCAGATCTGATACCAGTGGAGGAAAGATCATTCTCAGAAGACATTCAGATTGCCAGTAGAGGGCGATAAAGATCATATTTCACTATGTACACCTTTGTGATCACATCCTGTAATCAAAGAAACTAAGATAAGGCAAATGTTAAATTAATATTTGCAATGCAGGTGTTTAGTCAGTGGATGTCTTTTGCATTTATCATATCAGAAATATTTTAATGTCAAATTACAACTTTCAAGTTTCATGACAAATTCAGCTCGCCTGAACTCTGGTGCAGATGTAGCTCACAAGACCTTACCATCACTCACAGACAGTGGTTTCCTGAAATCTGCATTGTCAACTTTCTCCTATTCTTGCAATAACCACCAAGATATACTGTAGGGACTTTGGCAGACACAATGATAATGGCACAATATGGACTACTCTTGTTTGGCTCACAGGTATTTTACTTCTTACTTACTGGAAATATCTCTCTCTCTCACACACACACACACACAAATGTTTGCATCATTGTGTAGTCAAACAAATCACATCTTCTCATACATGTGTTCAAAGAGCTGGTGGCTGCGGTGTGATGGAGTCACAAATGATGAGGTACTTATGAACTTGCTGCAGCTGCTAAACAGTTTAATTAAAGCTTAATGAAATCATTCCAGAGTCCCAGGAGATAGTCTTGTCCCATCACACCCTACCTGAGAACTGGGTAAAAAAATGTCGATTTCATTATTCTTAGATCCAATATGACCCTATTTGGTCTGTTGTGAAGAAGTCCATGAGCAGAACAACAATAATGTTCAATGACTCGACTGCTCAGTTCTGCTCACGTACAGGTGGTACTGTGTGTGTGTGTGTGTGTGTGTGTGTGTGTAGACCTTGATGACTTGGTATGGTTATCCCAGTACAGGACCTTGTAAAAGGTTTCTGCTGACTGGCAGGCAGAGGACAGCATGTCATCCAGGTGCTTCAACCTAATAGAAACAACAAACATGAGCACACCCACAGACACAAACACTGTAAGAACAAAGATGCACTTCAACCCATACATGAACAAACACCATGTGCAAATGTCACATAAACTTATGACACCAGGGTACAAGCCATAGTTTGTAAACCTGTTCTCAAAAAGGGCAACTGATGTCATATATTCATTTTTTTAATGAACCGTTTTTTATGAAGGTCTAAAACAAAGAAAACAAGCAAATGTAAAGGTATCCTGTGGAGTTTGTGCCCACAGGCGGAGCTGTAGGGCAATGCTTTGATGAATGGGGACCCATTTTTTAAACAGCTTTGCAAATGTTTTATGAGGCAGGAAATAAATAAAACAAGTGTGTAAGGCCTCAAGGATACTCATTTTTAACGGTAGATGTGAAAGTACCCAAACATTCATGAAGCTGTTTACAGAAGTAATTGCAATGTTGAGGTAAAATGGCGTTAACTCAACACACTTTTTTCAAACAGATTTGATAAGGCAAAATACCAAACATAATCCAGTCCCTGCTTCTCAAAAGTGATTATTTGCCTTATGTGTAAATTTTTTGGCTTTGGGCTATTTTCTGACATTTTATAGACTCACGAGCAGCAAATGTTCAAAAAAATTACAGATGATTAGATAATGAAAATAATCATTATTTGGCCCTACAGCACATGACCCCATCCCCTGCTGCAGTGTCATCCTTACAGGTCTTTGACTTCCAGCATGGCCTCCTGTTTGGTGAGATGCACTGTCAGCAGGTCTCTGCGGTGCACAGCGTGAAAGCGCCTCCTGTGGAGCTCAGCGTCTGATGCTCTGCCCCCACACCTGTCCTGCAGGTAACCCAGGGCAGCAGGCGCCGCCACCGCCACCACACCCACTGTGATCCAACCCACTGACACCAGAGAGGCAGACACAGCAGTAAGTTAGTAAATTATTCAGGTGTCTTTTAAAAACACCAAACAAAAGCCGGATCGATATTAATTGCCTATTGCCTCATGTTACCTTCATTAACAGTGCAGAAGAAGACATTGAGGAACAAACAGACGAGCAGAGAGCACAGGGGCATTTTTGGGGGCACCTTTGTAAATGGCTACATTTCCCACTGAACTGAACCCACTGTTTAAAGATCACTAAACTCCACAGTACAACACATGTCATCAAAGGTTCTGCAGTTGAGTAACTGTTGACTGTGTTAAGGTTAGGGTTGGGGTTTTATCTCTGTTTCACCTCTCCCTTTATTACCCCCTGTGTGCGTGCTCTGGTATGAAAACAAAGCTCCAAATTCCTGCAGAAAACGCAACTGTCATCAGTTGTCCACCAGCAGCTGCAGAGCACAGTTTCTGTCCTGTGGAGGAGGAACTGCACCAAATGACTTAAACAGTACTGTAATATATGAGTTTTACTTTAAATCGCAGTGACACTCCAAATAAAACTCAGATTCTGATCGTCAAACGCTCAGCTTTGTAGAATTGACTGGTGGCACTTAAAAGTTCACAGTTTCCACTTGTCATGTTTGCTCAGTAGTAATGAGGCAGTATCATGTAGCCTAGAGGACTCTCACTTCTCACTTGTAATCTCCAAAGTAAACTGTCTGTGACAAAATCAGTGTGAATGAATTATAGCTGCGTGGGAATGTGCAGTTCTCCCTCAATCTCAGCGCTGGCCCCCCACTGCCCTCTCTGAAGTGTCCTCCAGCTGCTGTTCTGTAACTGTCTCGCTGCTTTCAACAAGGCATAATATTACAAGGTTATTTTAAAATTTTCTTCCACTCAAAAATGTATTTTGCTAAGTGCTACTTCACAGTTTCAATGTGCTCACCTTAAATCTGAGTTTAAAACTTGCACCTTACACACAAGCAAGGTTTTGTGACATCACAGCTGGTTTGAAAGCCAGTCATGGTCTCTTATGCAACTTGAAGTCTCCAGTGTTCATACAGTGAAAATGTGACTTTACAGGGACGTAGGAGATGTTTAATGTCCATTGGTTAAACTTTGGAAATAAAAAACATTTGCATATGAATTCTGGATTTTTCAGTGAGGGGGAAAGAGAACATTTTTAAACAAGGCAACACAGATTTAAAAAAAAAAAAAAAAAAAAAAAAACACAGCTTGCACAAATTATTATTTTAAGCAGAGTTTTTTAGGTAGATTTACCAGTCTGTGATGTCATACGGTGTAATCCAGATTTGTCCTTAGTCATTAGTTCAAGGTCCACACAGTCAACCACTGTCCTAGATGACACTGGGATCACCAGGGTAATGTTCTGAGTGTATGGGTACATTTTCTATTTCAGAGCTGAGGACATTACAAGAGAATGAAGCTCATTTGGGTATATAAAAAAGAAAACATTTTGTGAGTCCATAAAATCTGGCTCCTATTCATAGTCTATGGAGCAGCTCCAGACTTTATATCCTATGACATCACTAGATTGAAACTTCCTTCACTGGTTTCCGGCTTTGAGAGAGAGTAGCTCATCACCACACATATTGATTAAACTCTTCTAGACAATGGAAATAACAATTGGAAGTCTGAATCCCCTTTAAACTCTGCAGCCAAAGCTCATCCCACTCTGTGATCGATTGTATGGCACATATGCCCTTGTCTGCGCTCTACTGTTCGGCCTGGATTAAACAAGGAAGCGGACGTAGTGGGGACGGAGACAGAGCTAACAAAGCCAGCTAGGAGAAGCAGCCAAACAAAATATCTGCTTCACCCGTCGGTTTTCCGCGCAGACAACCGGACAGTGATACAGACCGCTTTGTCTGACAGGTTAATGTTCACGCAGGAGGGCAGGCTGCCGCTATGTTGACCGGGCCGGTTGAATTTTTGGAGGCTCTTCCTTCCTCCAGGCTGACGATGTCGGTGGGGCACTTCAGTTACGCCTGAGCTCCTCTCCGCTGCTGTTGCCTCACAGGTTGGCTGTTGGACACTCAGCTTGAGGTATGTTACCTCCTTCATATCCGCCACGTAATACTGGCTGGGCTGAGGTGACAATAATATCTCTAGCAGTTTCCCTCTGACAGCTAACTTAACTTTCCTGTTTGACAGCATCTCACAGGCCACAGTACCGAGCGCTGATTTGGATGCTCCCTCCCTCCGTAGCTGCTCAATGTCACAATGAATTGTTTATTTTAACACGTTATTGTAACAAGATTATGGTCCGGGATGGAGTGCTCTTTAAATAAATACTTGTAGTGTTGTTACAGGTTATGATTGATGTTACTTGTTTTGAAAACAAAGTACTTCAGTAAGTTATGGTCGCTCTGTTGAAGACTATATTAGGTACCTGTCAGTGTGGTCACTTACTTTAAAAGCCCATCATAACATTTTAAATTGAATAATGTTACACTGTACTAACCCTCTGCTCATTCAGTGATGCTGAACTCAGAATTGTAAAGATAACTACCTCCTAGATTACTTTATATAGGTTCAAAATAAACTTCCTCTACTCCTGTCTGACACTAAACAGCCTATAGAGGAGCTTTTTTTAATACTAGGCTATAATTCTTCACTGAATGTGTATTCGGCTATTATACTGAATACTTCATACTGCTCTGAAAATGCAATTCAGCTGCCCTCACTAGTTGAAAGTTTCAGGTGTGTTGCACCTCTGTTGGGTGTTGTCAGAAGCAAAGGTGTGGGTTCGAGTCACATGACTTAGACTCTGGTCTCAAATTTGAAAAATTTAGACTCGATTTGACAAAATCAAAACCAACTTGCAGCTTGACTTGGACTTTTACACCTATTACTTGTAACTGCACTTAAACTTGAGCCTTTTCTAATATTTCATTTATAGATTTTAACATAACACAAACAGCACAAATACAAGTATGGTATGCAAAACGTACAGGACGAAAATGACAGACAGAGACACAACTTCCAACAAACTTATTTCAGTGTATGTGAATTGACTTGGGATTTGAGTGCAAAGACTTCAGACTTCCATGTGACTCGCAAAGCATTGACTTTGTCTTGTCTCTGGTCAGAATAATGCAGTGGGTGCGCTCCAAAAAAGCATGACTGGCACTTCATTTTAATGTGGCACAAGAGAGACACACACTGCTCACATTGAACTGTCGGCTCCACCACCTGCTGCTGTGTGATCATCAGCTGATGGAGGATCAACAACATACCTGTGCTTGCATTTCATTTAAGCAGCCTTCCCCGCCTTTGCGTTTGTATAACAAGCAGTAAGCCAACATGGTCAAATACAGCAAAGCCTGTGTGACACCTGTAACCACATCTACCCGGGATGTTACAGTACTTACACACCCTGGATTATACTCCACCACTGTTGCAGCACGATTCTTTAAGCAGTTTTTTTTTTTTTTTTTTTTTAAATGAGGCAATCAAAGGCTTCAGTCTCCCCTGCCTGATAATGTTGTTTCCCTTGAGTTGTGAGTGTGACTGTCAGGAACCAGGCTACAGTCTCTGCACTCCTTTCCTTTTTCCTGTTTGCTAATCTGGTCTTGTCCAGGACCGAATCGTGAAATTGGTTCAGTCGGGTCCAGAGTAAATCTCTCTAGTGACATTAGCGAGCAGAAATATTGCATCCTTTTCAAGGTCAGTTCATCCACTGACTCCTGCCTGCTTTCTTTACCTCACTCTGTGCAGGGGTGATGATGCACGGCGTGTCCCAGGAGCCCTCACATGGCACAGGGGAAGGGGGGGAGCTAGCACACACATCATCTAAAGACACCCCAGGGTCTCCAGATGCCTCGGAGCTGGGGAGCCCGCGGTGCACACCAAACTTTGACCTCCTCAACATGGTGGTGTCCTATAAGAGAATGGCTCTGTTTTTAGAACCAGCTGCAGACGCAGTGGAGCTGACCCGCTTCCTGCTTGGGTGTGTATGAGTGTTTGTCTGCGGCCTGTTTGAGCATCATGTGATATAATTGCTTTTGGTCTTGAGCAGCACTGGCAGGAAGCCAAATTTGTATTTGAGTATTCAGTATAATCTGTTTCTCTTATCCCTCAGATGGAAAATGCCCCTGTGCTCTCTGCTCGTCTGTTTGTTCCTCAATGTCTTCTTCTGCACTGTTAATGAAGGTAACATGAGGCAATAGGCAATTAATATCGATCCGGCTTTTGTTTGGTGTTTTTAAAAGACACCTGAATAATTTACTAACTTACTGCTGTGTCTGCCTCTCTGGTGTCAGTGGGTTGGATCACAGTGGGTGTGGTGGCGGTGGCGGCGCCTGCTGCCCTGGGTTACCTGCAGGACAGGTGTGGGGGCAGAGCTTCAGACGCTGAGCTCCACAGGAGGCGCTTTCACGCTGTGCACCGCAGAGACCTGCTGACAGTGCATCTCACCAAACAGGAGGCCATGCTGGAAGTCAAAGACCTGTAAGGATGACACTGCAGCAGGGGATGGGGTCATGTGCTGTAGGGCCAAATAATGATTATTTTCATTATCTAATCATCTGTAATTTTTTTGAACATTTGCTGCTCGTGAGTCTATAAAATGTCAGAAAATAGCCCAAAGCCAAAAAATTTACACATAAGGCAAATAATCACTTTTGAGAAGCAGGGACTGGATTATGTTTGGTATTTTGCCTTATCAAATCTGTTTGAAAAAAGTGTGTTGAGTTAACGCCACTTTACCTCAACATTGCAATTACTTCTGTAAACAGCTTCATGAATGTTTGGGTACTTTCACATCTACCGTTAAAAATGAGTATCCTTGAGGCCTTACACACTTGTTTTATTTATTTCCTGCCTCATAAAACATTTGCAAAGCTGTTTAAAAAATGGGTCCCCATTCATGAAAGAATTGCCCTACAGCTCCGCCTGTGGGCACAAACTCCACAGGATACCTTTACATTAGGGATGGGCAACACAAGCAAAAACACTATTCGAAAATCGTGGCAAGTATGCGACAATTTTTCGAATAATCGCCCCCCCCCCCCCCCCCCCCCCCCCCCCCCCCCCCCCCCCCCCCCCCCCCCCCCCCCCCCCGAGCCACGCACACAGAGATCCATCCATCTTTAAAGGCCCGAACATACTCGGGCGGAACGGACTCCACGGAGGTCCGCGCGGACTCAAAGCGGACGTCCGCAAGCCCTGTGCGCGCACACCAGTGACTGCTCGGCATGTATTTTTCACATCGCGGGGATTTTTCACGGACATTTTTACAGGAAACTACAACGCGGAAGTGCGCTCGACTATGAAAGCCCGAATGACTGCGGACATTCCTCACGGAGTAGTAGGCCCAATTCCAATGCGGCCCCTAAAGACTCAAGCCCTGAACCCTCACTGACTTAACTGACGTCAGCTGTAAGCGATTGAGTGTGAGAGTCTGAAAGGGCTCCGGATGCTACAAAT